AAGAAGTGTACTCGTTCCCTTAGTGTCCCAATATTGTCCATTTACAGCTGTTTGGCCACAGCAGGTTGTATGAAACTTGGAGAATATCATTGATGTTTTACTGCTGGAAGGGGTCCCAGCAGCACTTCTGTTTTCTTGGGGAGCCCCTTCCCTGAGAACATCTGGGGTTACAAGCAGAGATTATTTTCCTAGCGCTGTGACTGTTAACTCATCAAGTCGGTCTTGTCACTGCACAGCTTTTGTGAAATTTGCAGGTGCAGCTATATTATAAACATTTGCTAATGTATTTTTGCTTTAGAAAAATTTGCTCTGGCGGACAGCCTCTCCAAAGCCATTGATTTCAGTGCTATATGATAAGTCAATAGCCATGGATGTTAGGGTAGCTGTAACTCTTTTTCCTTTGTGGTCTATCCCACTATTTCATGGGTCCAGCCTTTGGCTTTTATTGGTCTCAGCATGGCATCTTGCAATTTCTTTCCTGCTAAGACAGAGACCTGCTATGCTCTCAGCTGTTTTGATTACATTTTGAGCACCTGTGTTTTCCCTTTTGCAGAACTTACTACCCCGGGAGATTGACCGGCATCCTCCTTAAAGATCAGCAAAAAGGATTTTCAGCAGCAGCTTTATCACAGGTGACATTAGACTTGAATTACAGGGAAGAACAAAAACAACGTATGTTCTTCTGTCGTGCCCTCGTCATCCTATGTGCCTGAGGGACTCTAGCTCAGCTTGTAACATCACCTTAAAAAGGTATGCTTTCTATCAATAAAAATCATGAGAGTTGGAAGATAGCTTATATTTAACTGTTAAGTTGGTCTTGCTTAGATACTATCTAGGTATAAGAAGCATTTGTGCTCTTGTCTTTCTCAGAATTTCTGAATATATATTTGGAATTATTTTCGCCACCTTGAACAGAATATAAGCTTCAAAAGGTTTGAATGCAAAGCACATACTTGAATCTGCAAAGTAAATTAATTTTAGACTGTGTTCAAAATAAGAAACAAATGTGTGTGTGCTTACTAATAATTTCTGAGGGGGAAAAAAAACAAGATACATCTGGAAATCTTTGTAAGAAAACAACCTGCGGTCTTTGAATGACCCAGTATATTATTATTAGTGTTATAGCAGCTCAAAAGAGCTTTGGCTGAAATGAGAATGCTCAAGTAATGTCTTAAAACATGGATTTTTTTATGGCCTATCTCTTCCAGGCTGGATGCGAGGAGTTAAGATTTATGGTATGGCAGCGCCAATAAAGTGCTCATACATAGAGGAAATTACACAACAAGAAACGTATCCCTGCGCCGGTGAAGTGCGCATAATGTAGACAATGCGTTGTAAGAAACAGGCAATGGACGTGAGCTCCTGAGCTTGCTTTCTGTTTCCAAGTATCTACATCTATATCAAGAGCTCATTGCACGTGAAACCTGTTATCATGGTGAGCAATTTTCTAGTGCTAACAACAGTTTTTTATGTTGATCAGCGAAGAGAAAACATTTTGACAGTCCTGTTGTCATCCAAAAAATATGAAAAAAGGCTCCACAGTCACATTACCTTATCACCCGCTTAACCATTTTTAACAGTTGCTTTTGAATTTTCTCACTTATTCCATATTACATGTGTTGGTTTATTTTTTGTACTGTGTTCTTGGCAATTACTGCCAACGTAAAGATAACAGCAAGTATGCTCCTTCTCCAGCAAATGCGCTGAGCAGTTTGTAAAGGCAGCAACATCCTGGTTTCCCTGGTCACGCTGAGTGGATTTATCCGCCGTTGTAATGAGAATGAATGCTCTTTGTCAGAGACAGTATGTGGAGAGAAGATTTGGGAAGTGAGTAATTTTTGCTTTTTTATGTTCCATTTACAACAGGCAGATAAGACAAGTTTTAAGTTTAAAGATAAGCTGATGCATATATCCAGGCCGAGAGCCGTGGACTGGGGACCTTTTCTGGTAACAGTCTTAATCTGGATTTGTATTAAAAATCATCAGAAGTACATCCTAAATGACCAAGACCATAGGGATCTCTAACCCTGTTCTTAGAATACAGGAAGCATTGATGGGAACAGTACTAAATCCCAGACGTGTAACGCTAATGTAATGTCAAAGCTAGAATCTGGGCTGTTTGTTACTCAGTGCAGAGTCCGGTTTTTTAAAGACCTATTGTAGTATGCTTAGAGTTTCTGAAGCTGGCCACTTCCTTGTAGCGCCGTGGCCTCACATTTGGGATCATTTAGAGTTTGTTGTGGTACTGTTCTTAGTTTCTCCTGCATATAAGGGTCAGTATAGCTATACTCAAGGGTACTGTGTTCATGTTGGGAGTGGAAGATGTTGCCTCTGTGATACTAGACTGGGATCTGGGTTTGGTTATGTCACAGAGTGTTCCAATGGACCTCGTTTGCTGGCAGAAAAAATAGATAGTTTTGAAGATAGATTTTTGTGCTATTACCATAAGTGAGCACATTACATAAGTGAACACTTATGGTGTTGGGTCTGGCAGAGATTGCTATTCCAGGATTAGATTTGCACTAAGGTTAGGAGCAAGGTTTAGGCTTTCCTGGATTTTGAAGGAAATAATAGTTAGAGCTGATGCTGTAAGAGCCGCCACATAGCTCTGTGTTTGGCAGAAACAACCCCTCTGCTGTTAAGAATAATTTGAGGATAGGGTTTGTTCCGTTACTGGGTGGAGAGCCTGGATTTTTAATAGGTATATGACAAGTTGCTGAGCTAAGTTTAGGGCTGCTATGGTTAGTGGCTACCTTCTTACTAATAATTTTGGTCTGGCAGGGTTGCCTCTTTAGAGCTGAGGCTGGGTTTCAGTGCAGTTAGGATTAAGGTTTTTGTAAGTATTAGTCTATGAGATTAGGTTTGTGCTGGATTTAAAAGGAGTGGTCTGGCTAGCTTAAAGGTTGTTGTCATCTGCTGTCTCCTTTATGCGCCTAATTCTGTCTACTAGAAATTCCTTGCCTCGGATTGCATGGCAAGAAATTCCTTGCAGGGTTTAAGGGGTTGTGGTGGGCTATGACACATAATGTGTTTTGCATTGTGTTTTATTGCTTGTTTTGTCTGCTAGTTTTAATTTAGTTGCGCAGGTATGTAAGAGGTCTTTCAAGCTGCTGAGTTTTGTTTAAGGCAATTGTGACTAGTTTTTCAGCTTCATTCCACAGGGAGATTTTCCCCCCCCCCCTTTTTTACTACTGCATAGTTAGGGGCAGCATTATGGTTAGGCTTCCTGCTCTGATGTCATGTTGGCCTGAATGCCAGTTGTTAATGTTGCTCCAGATTTAGAGTTGTGGATAGAAATTTCTCTGGCTGTTCTTGGTGTTCCTTGTGGGAGAGGTTATCTGAGCAGGCTTAGTGTTAGGCTTATTATTAGACTTCATGTTAGAGTGAAGGTTAGGGGTTTCAGATGGCGTGGACTGGTGAACAGGCTCAGCTGAAGAGGGTGTGGGGATCCAGTGGGCTAGGTTTAGGATGTTTGTATTTAGGGACATCAGATTGTTCTGCAATCTGCATACAAGAAGCAGTTGGTGCGCAGGGAAGAGGAGGAGCAGAATTACCTTTATGTCCATCAGTGGCACAATGTTTCTGTGGCTTTCAAAGTTGTGTTTTGCTCAGGCAGAGGCAATGAACAGTATCAATGTTTTTTTAACCAGCTCCTCTGCTGCTTGCGATTCTGGGCAGATCGCTTCACTTGTCTGTCTCTTGATTTTCTTGCCCAACTATTTCTAGTCTGGTGCAGTTAGATAATGCAGTCTTTTACTACCTGTATGTACGGTGTCTCTTATAAAATAGAGTCCTAATGTCAGGCAGACCTTGCTAGTTCTACTGCAGTAAGATTGATAACCTTCACCGCATAAATAACATCAGTGAATTGTATAGGTGTGATTATGGCAAAATGTGGTTTGTAGAAATATTTCCATCTCTGTTCTTTTTACAAGGTGAAAAATACCTGGGATGTATATCTTTCCTAGTTAACTGTGCTGCTTTATATCAGGTTGGGTATGAACTTTAATCGCACATACAGTCTTTCTTCTTTTTCTTCCTGAAGATAATTTGCCTGGAATTCTCAGGGGAGTAGTAATGAAGGTATAGTGAATTATTAGCTCTTGTCACCATTATTTAATCACTTTCTGATAAGAGTGAGTAGGTTCTAAACATTTAATACATTTAATAGCAGTCTTCTTCAAATACTCCCCAGCGCAAAATATTTTACACAGCAAGTAGATTATACTTATCCAAAGAAGAATAGAGTCGGTACCTAGTGATCACTGTAGAAATGGAAATGTGATTTTTTTTTTTTTTTTTCTTCTGACTTGAGTTTCTCCCTGGGGTTTTAGCTATTGGTGTCTCAAGTGTTTTTCTTGGTACTTTGGTTAAACCCCTCCCGGTGGGGCTGCCGGCCCTTTGGTTTGGCTTCATGGCAGCTGTAGCTGCATCTGTGCTGCCACCTAGTGGAGAAGACGTTGAACAACTGATACAGATTTTTAGGGATTTTTCTTTGCTCCTTTTGTTTTCTTTTGTTTTGCTTTGATTCTCTCCTGTTCGGAGTATATCCAAGGTACTGTGTATTGCGAACACTTTTTGTCCCTTTTCTGACAGTCCCTCCCTTTTCTGTTAGTCTTTTCTGAGACTTTTTTCCCCTTATTTTCCTTTTTAAAAAAAATCTCTGAGAGCCATGGTAAGCAGATGAAAAGGGTAATCACCTGTTTAAGGAGACTGCAAAAATAAGGACATACACTGCGGTGGTGTGTTGGAAAATACAAAAAGTGACAAGCAAGTGTTGCCTTCTCCGCGTGTGCTAGTAGGTAATGTCATTCACCACTGAAGTACGACGATTCTGTAGCAGTACAAAATATGATATTGCACTGTGGTTTGGAAGAGAAGAAAAATACCATATTTAATAGAAACAGACAGAAACATATAGGAGCTGACCAAATGCAATTCATGGTGGTGATATTCAGCTAGGAATACTAGGATAAATACTGCTAACCCTGTGAAAATTTGCTATAAGGGATTCCCATGGATTCAGGCCATTTTTTAAAGACAATATTTTAAACATAACTTCATCGTCCAAGTACAAAGTACAAAAACAAAATGTTTTAAAAACATGGTGTGCCATGGGCAATGTCAGCTTAAAGTTACAGGTCTGTCAGCTCTAGCAGTGTCAGTGGAAACGGCTTATCTCGTGCTTTCTTGGCAACCCCTGAGTCTTCAGATGAGCTGTAGCTGGGGCATGCCAAAAGCTACCTTTTGCATACTGGCAGATCTATCATCCTCATCAGTGAGTGTGGTGTTGGTAGGCCCACTGATCTGCTCGTGTACCAAACGAGCGGATGCTGCACTCACTGTGCCTAACTGGGTTTACTGCATAGGTCCTAAGGAACAGGTCTGCCCGGGACTATAAAAGCTGCCATTCAGCATTGTGCCCCGAACCTACAAAATCCGTAAGCATCAGCTGAATCATCAGGGTTTTTTAAAGCAGGTGGGAGTTCCTTGGAAGATCCCCATCCAGTTATTGCAATATTGCATGGTAATACTGTATTCAAAATGAAATTCAAGATACAAGATAACATAAGCAACTTTTTCTGATCATTTGTCTGTGATGAATCAAAAAAAAAAACCAGTTGATCCTTGCCTTTTTTTTCTGTAAATGCAAAGAATGGGACCTGATCTCTGTTTACAAAATCGCAAAATTCTAATGTACAGTGTCTAAAAAAATCTTATTACACTTAGTTCTCGTAGACTGATTTACTAGTTTTTGTTTTCTCAGGCAGTAGTACCTTCCTTGGTCTTAAGAAACAGACGTTTCTTTTACGTTTTCCTCTACCAGTGTCAGGTTAGCAGAGCGCTTCATGGTTATAAAAAGCTACCAAAAGAACTAGAGCTGCTGAATTAACGGTCTATGGGACATAGATTGTTGCTACTATTAATTTTCAGGACTTTGGCTTTCTGAATAAAAACAAATGGTCTCTTCAGTACAAAACCAGTAACTGGGTGAACAGCGGTACAAAGGAAGTCTATTTTCCTATGCATCGAGAGACTGAAGTTGCAGCTCTGATCAAAGCTTTTCCCTTTGTTGGACATTCATAACATCTCTGGAGAGGGTTTGTCTGTGTTTAGAAAGGGTTGAGCAGGCCAAGTTCAGTTTCTGGAGGTTGAATCCTGACAGAACATTGGGATAAATGCTACTAATCCTATGAAGAATTCCACAATTTCTGTAAGGGGTCCAGTGACAGCAGTGATGGGCTCTCCTGTATCCTGCCACTGTTGTCAATGAAACTTGTCAGAAAATGTCTTAGAGACTTCTGTTGCTCTTTCATATTTAGTTGAAATTGGCTGACTTTCAAATGTTAATGGGTAAGGATACACAGATGCACACACACGGGCACATGGGTAGTGTAAATTAGTAAGTCGTGATCTGTAAGGTGCAGGCTGAAGTTCTTTGGTGAAAGAATGAAGTATTTCCACTTGCGATAGTACCTAGGAGAGATGATTCCACCCTCTTCCTCTAGGGGACAGCAGAATACAAGCCTTGCTGTAAGGGAGTCTTTCCTGAATATATTTCAAAATAATATTATTATTTGTTGCCCTACTTTATTACTTTTTAAAGAAGCTGGAATTACTCTTGCAATTTATAGCCGTGCTTCAGAACAATCTCTGCATACTTTGGCCAACTGATGAAAAGAAAAAGCACCAGGAGTTTAAGCACGGTGTTCATTTATGAAATTTGTTTCCGCAAACACCAAGCATGTTCACACCTGTGATAAATATCTCAGTATTTCACAGGAAAAGTGCTAATCAGATGCTTCTTGACAAGCAAGAGCTTGAACCCTCAGAGGCACCCTCATTTCTAACACCAAGTGAATGCATTTTTGTGGCGATCACTGAGGAGCTGTGGAGGAGTTCATCCGGGCCAGAGTAGTGCTTGCCAAGTGAGGGCAGTGGTTTCGTTTTGCTTCCTTCCACGAAGAAGCTGATAAAGTCTGTGGTACGAAGTGGGCTGCCTCTTCCCCAGCAGGCCCATTAAGTGCCTCTTGCCCTTCGTGCCCCAACCAGCCAGGGCTGCCTCTCAAAAGCAGGGTCCCTTCTGTAGCAGAGGTGAGTCAGGTGAAGTGTCTTGTCCTGCTGCTCTGCGGGGCTGGGCTCTCCCACCCGCCTGCTCGTGCCACCTGGATGGGACTCTGGGTGGCTGCTTCTGTAAATGGTATTTGTGGCACTGAAGACAAGAAGGTCCCTCTCTGTTCCCCTGCAGCCAGCAAGGCCTTTGCCTGCATGCCTTCTGGCTCTTAGAGAATTTTTTCAGCGTTTTGTCAGCATTCAGGCCTTTTCAGCGATCAGCCTGTCTTCCCAGAGGTCTGGAGTGTTTCTGCTTCCTGGGAGACTCCATGAGACTCGATGACTGATTTTTGAAATGCTGAGCTAGGACAGGGAACAGCACACACCTCTGCCACGACATTCAGGGGATGCATCCATGTGCACTGTTGGCTATTTCAGTCTTCCTTTGCTTGAACTTGGTCACTATAGAAAGAAGGAAAAAACTGGCAAGCGAACGGAGAAGGTTCTTAGGAATGCAGATAGCTGTTGGGCTTTAGGAAGAAAAGCCAGAAAAAAACTTGTACCAGAAAAGCTGCCAGAAAGCATGTTTAAATGTTCTCTGCAATTTTCGCAAGTTATCTTCCTGTCACAGATATAAATAGGACAAGAGGTTAAACTGTTAAACAGTCAGTGAATTACTAGTTATCATTTTTTGGTAATGGGTCGTCTTCTGTTAGATTTTAAAGGTATTTCAGAGATGTAACCCAGTCACCCTGTCACAGGTTTATCTCTTGCAATTGAACAGATTTGCTGTTGGGTGTAAATAGGAAGAGGGGGAGGAACAACCAGGTGGAGAAGAGCTAGGAGGGAGGGGACTTTCTAAGGTGGCTCTACTCACTTCAGGGAAAGTTTCCATTTTGCTCCCCAAGTGCTCTCCTCGCTGCCCCTCTCTCAACCAGCACCGTGAAGAGCAGGGCCAAATGCTGGCTCAGCTGCTTGTATGGATCGGTGGTAATGAAAATGGAGGACTCCTCTAAACCGGTTACTGGTTGGGTTTACAAAGCAACAGGAGTGACAATGCTGTTTTTTGGGTTGGGATAATGGGAATGACATTGACTAATTTGAATTTATTTTTCTGCAATTATACTTGGATTATGCAGAAACTAGAAAATGAACTTTAAGATAATTTTACCCTGGTGATTGTAATATTGCTTGCTTTTTAGTGTTTACTTTTTAAATTGGTAGGCTCAGCTACAATAGAAAACGTAGAGGGAATGATGTGGTGACTCAGTTTTTGTAAAAGTAAATATTAGCATTAAGCACTAGCAATTAGCAGTGCTTTTCAAAGAAATGTTTAATACCTGAATACTTATTTTGTAAATATAGTGATTTATCCAAATGATATACGTACTTCTGTCACGCTGTCTGGTCTTGGGCTGCAGCAGTTATTTAGAAGAAACACACGTTCAGGGTGCGAATGCAAGGGGAGGAGCTTCTTTTTTTTTTTTTTTTAATCCAGGTCGGAATTTGTGAAGTACAACAGAGTAAAGCCATTAGCTTTTTTTAAACTTTAAAATTATTAAGATTTTCGGTATGTATACAGTAAATCCAGAGAAGAGTGGATGTAGCTTAGCAAAAATAAGAGGGGAAAAAGAGAAATAAGAGAAGCACTGATTCATATAGAGGAAAAAGACAATAAAGTAGATAGGAGAGTTGATCGTTACTAAAACAAGTTCACTCTAGTGAAACTATAAAGCGGTAATGAAAAAAAGAAGTTGCCAGCCTGAAGCAGGTGAGTGCTTACCTTAGGTGTCAATAAATAACAATACTGCTTTGAGTCCTGCTGCTAAGTGTTTTTACATGCCTCCTGTGAAAGGGTAGAGTGTGACCCGGCAAGAGAGAGGCACTAGCCCTGCCTGGCGGCTCTGTGCTTCAGGAGGGCTAGTCAGCCCTGATGGAGCTGGGCTGCTGAAGATCACTTTCAGATGGAACAAGTGGGGGACATGGGAGTGGGACTTACATATTCATTTGGTTCCTAGGACAGGCAGTTTTGAGGAATGTGAGGCTCTGGCATGGTGCATTGGCTTGAAGGCAATGAGGGCCTGCGAAAAGGCAGGAGAGACTGGAGGGAGAACTGGCTCGGAGAATCAGTTGTGGTAAACTTGCAGCTTGCAACGGGGAAAGATTCAAGAGACTGAAATTGTCTGTGAGGGAGTATCCAGTACCTGGCTTGACAGAGGGTGCTGTTTATATGGGGGCATCGTATGAAGTTGCAAGCAGTGTGGGACTGGTGTGGATTTATGGGGGATAGGACTTCGTAGACTTTCCTCTCTGGCTGAGTAGAGTATGCTCTACTCGTCTCGGCAAGATGCCGCTTTTTGGGTCTGATCTCATCTGTGACACACGTAATACCTCCAAAGCATATTTAGCAATATATTTCCTGAAGTTGGACAGTAACAACAGGACTGGGTCCTCTAGTCTTTTCTCTTGCCAGAGAGTAGTGGAAATACAATCGTTTGTGTTTTCTATGTGTGCGCGAGGCCTCTGCCTCAGGCATTTTTCTCCCTCGTGCCTTGCTGTTTACATTGCTGCTCAGCTAATACCTTGGTGCCTTTTTTATGTAGACAGACTACTTAGGAGCTGCTGTGAGTGTGCTGTCTGTGCAACAGAGCTCCTGTAAACTCAGTCTTGTCCTTTGCGATATATTTCCTGGAAAGAGCAGTGGTGGAGTTATTTAAGCATTTTGTTTGTTACTGGAGCTCTTCCAAATGTCGTGCAAATCTTTGTGCAAAGCTTTAGGTAGCATCTCTGCAGCATCCAGAGAAAAGTGGGTGTTACTCAGCAGCTGGGAGAAAACTCTGCTAACATAGCACTCGAAATGGTGGTGTGCACAAAGATTACATACCTGCTAAGGGACTGTTAGCTACTGCTGCCAGTGGTGTAAGTAAAAGGTTAATGCAAGGCGGGGTTAAAACAAATATACACACTTACAATCGAAATGATATGGCATCTTTCCCACACTTTATTCCCTGTCTGGAACACACAGACAATGGAGTTATTCATGTTTTTACTCACCGCTGACTTACAAGCCACAAGAAGTGGCTTATCTCTGTTTGCTCATTGGTGCTTGTTGAGCAGTGACTTTAGGGGATGCTCTAGAGCAGGTCTTGCTACATGGCAGCTCACGTGCAAAGGTGGCTTGGGAGGCCCCCGGCTCAGAGCTGGTGAGGGTAGGGATGTGGGGCTGGAGCAGCCTGGTTGTTTGGAGCTTGCTTCAGCTGGGGGTGAGGGCCCTGGGAACGTACCTGCTGTGATCCCCCACTGGAGGTGGTGGGGGAAACGAAAAGTGCACACATCAGCTTGGGAGCAGCTGCAGGCAGCCCAGGCTTTCTGGCACAGTGGGTCTGCCCCGCAGGGCTGTGCACTGGGAACCACCAGCTCTTCCCATCCCAGGGCTATGAAAACGAACGGGGGAAACTGAAAAGGGAAAGTAGCCTGCAAAATAAATGCCTGGGCCGTTGCAAGAGGTAATCAGCCTTCTGGGAGATTCACAGGATCTGCTTACACTGAGCAGGATTCACAGGATCTGCTTACACTGTGCTTGGGTGGAGGACGGTATGTAGGGCTGGCTTTTTTTTATTATTTGCTCTCTGAGGGACTTGAAAGGAGATGTGCAATTTCCATTGAGTTCCTGGGCTTGGTCTACTTGTGCAGCTCCAAGCAGAAGCTGTGATGAGAAATGACTGTTGTGCTCAACTATGACAAGAAGAAGCTTGCAAGTGCTCCCACGTCTTGGTGCGAGGCGTCTGCTGTGCATGGAGATGGTGTCTCTGCCAGCCCACTCGCCTGCAGCTGCTGTTTGGTGTTCCTGAGGGTCTTCTGAGGTGATCATGCTGCTCAGCGGCTTCCTCTGCTGTATCCCCGATATTGCCGAGGCTGTTGCCCTTTTGGGTAGGTGTCAAGCTAGAGTGTCTGCTGGTCACTGATTCTCAGTGATGGCAAATCCTGTTCCTCAAAGACCTTCTTCCACTGAGCTTTGTGGCTTTCTAGGTAAATGTTGCAGTGATTATGAGTTGCAGTGGAGTAAAGTGTAGTTAGAAGCATTCTCTCAAAATTTCATTTTAAATGATGTCCTGTTGCTTTGGACTAACTCCTAGTTAAACTGGAACAATCTTCTTTATTTCTAATTGCAGGATCTTTTTTTGTTCTCCTCTGGAGTTAATCTTCAAGAATATACATGTCACTGTTCACGAATCTCTTATTTTGGTCCACTTCGTTTCTGTTTACAGCAATACCAGAGACCCCAGTCAAGGTCTTCTGGAGCTATGTTGAACAAATACAGGGGAGTGTATGATCCCTGCCCCACTTTGGAATAATACACGTCAAACACTGAAGGTTTCTGCTCACTTGAAACAAAGTTAAAATACCATTTGCACCTATTTACTAGACCTTCCAGAAAATGCAGGAAAGAAACAGGCCTGAAATAAATTTGAAACAATTAAGTCCAAACCAAACAAGTTCTAAACTACCAGCAAGTGAAAACAAAAGAGATCTTTACAGTGAAAGATGATGCCCTCTTGGTGTCTCCATTTGCAAGTCACTTCTGTTCTAAGTTTGATTCATGAGGCACAGCCAAGCTCGGCAGCTCAGGACGGGCACAACAGGAATTTGCCGCGAGCATCTGTCTGAAGATGATGTCATTCCCCTCACTGGTGTAGGGGAAAGGACAAACTTGCGTGAAAGGTGAGGTGAGGATGGCACACCCCATTTCAGGCGCATTCAAAATGAAAACTGTCATGACATCAATTAACACAAATTTCCTGTAATTAAAAGTTGTACTTTACTGTATGCCTAAAGGCTCCAAAACAGCAAAGTGTTCAAGGTCATTTCTGTGGTTAAACACTGCAGATGGTAAACTCAACACAAAGGTTATCTTTAATAAAGAACCAGTCTGTACATCTTACTCTGCAGCTTTTATTTCCATTAATGGGGGGATCATTAAAAATAACTGACAGAACAGAAACTCCTTTACACTGTATAGCACCTTCATTCTCGGAGATCTGGCGGGAATTTACATGGCGTATCTATACAGCATCAGAAACATGCAGTTATTGGCACATAAACGTATGGGACTCTGAACAGCGATAATTAAAGGAAAATATCTGATTGGGACAAATGTCTCCTCTTACAAAAACAGCTCTCTGAGCTTTAAGGGCAAGATCTCTCAAAGCTGCTGAAGAACTTGGATTCTCAGCAACTGTTATAATTTTTCTAGCAGAAATTAGCACTCAAAAGTACATTTGAAAAACCTCTGCATAAATGAATAAAAATCTCTGCTGCTCGTGGATGGGATTTCAATTTTTCAAGTCTCAGCAACATACACATTAAACTGATTCATTGTTTTGGTCTTTGCCTCTGCATGAGGTAAGTCATCAGCCTGCTAAATCTACAGATGGAATTGAGAATCATCTCCATTTAAAATCAATTGTGAAGCAAATCCTAATGTACTGCCTCCTATCTGTGGGTTACTGCTGTATTGCAACCTCCTTACTACCTGCTCACTGCCTGTAACGGGTATTACACTAGCACTTAGGAGCCTCAGTTGCGGAAGACGTCATACAAAGTCACAATAAAACAATTATCCTTGCCTTAAGGATCCTGCGGTGTCTTGCTGTCCTTCTTTGCATTTAACTTTGATGTTTCTTTTTCCTGATCTGAAGTTGGGCTAAACAGTTGGGATCACCAGTGTTATTTACTGCAGTTAGATGTGCACAGCCCCTTGCAACTGAGCCCAAGGAGATCGTTCTTTTACTCCTTCCAGTAATACTGCCTTTTTAGATGATACCTTTATATAGACATTAGAAGAAATCAAACAGCAACTTCACTCTTGTGAATAAAATCAGTGTCTATCTTGCTTGGATAGATGAGCCTTGGCAGACAGCTGGCAAGACAGCATGCCACTGTATGAAATGTACACTAATATATTTGTAGATTATTATAAAAGATAACTTTGCAAAGTTAGTGTCCAGGTTTGTTGCTGCTTAGCACACGAACAAGAGCCCAAAGACTTCTTTCTGTTTAGCTACCTTCTTTTTTTTTTTTTTTTCTTTTTTGTGTTTTTCTTCCCTTAGAAACATGAGGCCTGTAAAGTCTGTTGTTTCCTAGTTTTGCTGCAGGACATTTTGAGAGTCTCAGGGAAACACACTAGAGTGATAAAGACAGTGCGTTTTGCATGTATAGATCAATCACCTGCAGCTAATTAGTTGTTTGGAGTTTTAATGGATAATCGAATGCTGGGTTCTTATAAGAGACTAGGTGTGTACCATATTGCTCACTAGGAGGCTTTTTACATGCCTTACACAGACATATAGACAATACAATAGTGGAAATGAGAAAGAGTCCACTTGCTGCGGACAGAGCAGCAAAGACAGTCTTGTAGCTGGGCTTTGTTTTAAATTTGGTGCATGGATTACCTGACATTTCCTGACTTGCTGTCTGGCTTGATCCTGCTTTGTTCCAAGCAGTCACGCAAATGTGATAAGTGGTGTATGGTAATAGATTATACAGTGTGTACTGCCTTGCTGTGGAATAAATATTGTCCAGGACAAACTGCCTCTCCTCATTGCCTTGGGCATGAAGCATCAGCTGGTAGGTATGAACAACTGAATTTGGGGCGCACCAGTGTATCTGTGCAGAGCTGTCTGTAACTTCAGACACGTCTCTGAGTCTTGGTGGATCTGGGACCTCATCTTCTCTCGAAATGCCAGGACATAAACACTGGGATGCACTCTGAAGCTCACTGCATGGCTTCTGAAGGTGTCTGCAAGGATTGTAGTCACAGGGGGTGTATACCGGTTGCACTGGGGTTTCTGTTGTCTGATCATCGTACTCATAATCATCTACATAGTGTATCAGTGATCTGGTGAAGGCAGGATCTGACTGAGCATCGGTCTTTGTTGAGTTCAGCTGTGGTAGGTTTATCTGTGCTGTACCTTCCGCAGTGTTAGTAGCAAAGGAATGAATATAATGGTTGATGGTATCTGGATTGACTGTTGCTCTAGTAGAATAATCGCTAGTAGGCTGGTTAAAGAGTCCTTCCTGGGGAAACACAGCGTTGGTTGCTGTGAACTCTCTCTGATCTGTTTCACCTTTACTGATGGAGCTATAACCTGAGGATTGATTATAGAGCTCTTTGAGAAAACCCGGGGAGGAGGTTACTGACACGAAGGAAGGGGGATTGCTCATGGATTCGGACACTGCCTCCTCCTCGTGGGAGGAACTGTTGACCTTGGTGAGGATCTGCTCAGTTGGGTTTGCTGCAGTTGGGTCTGTTATATTCCTCTGAATTAGGAAGCTGCTGAAAGTGTCTTTGGGTAGTGAAGCAGAGTCTGTTGTCGATGCTACAGTAGTGGGAGCACAGTCTGTTGTTGATACTACAGTACCGGCATCATAACTGGTAACGCTGAAAGCAATGTCTTCAGGAGGGGGTGTGTCTGAGTCGGGCAGTGTGATGTTTCTTTCAGATTGGCATTTATCGTAGAGCTCTAGCAATGAAAAAGATGTTGAAGGTCTGTCCCAATCTTCTTGAGGTGTGTTGCAGAAAGTGTCCGATGCCCTGCAGAGGGGACAAGTTAGAACAGACAAGTCCTACAAGAGCATTTCCGACTCCTGTAGGGCTTCTCGGAGTGGCACTGGGAACCTCCTGTCCAAAATTAGTCTTCATTTTAAAGGAAACATGAAACCTGGACCAAAGCTAGGTAGTAGTGACGATAGTCCTGTGCTTGACAGATGATCTTGCACAGCAGTATGATCTTAGCTGACTGGCGCTTTGTTTTTTGTAAGGTGTAGGAATATCTTTTGCCTGAGAGGAAGCATCCTCTGGTACAAGGACTGTGAACTTTAGTAAGAGTACTGGGGATTAAGGCAACTCGTCTTAAAGGATCAAATTCTAATGCTACACTAGGATGGGACTGCATGGAGAGAGGTGTAGCAGGGTCCGCTGGATCCTTAAGCGCTGCTGGTTCAAGCAGCTGGAGCTGTGCTGACACTGGACATGCTTTTAAATGACTGAACTCAAGTTTGTTCTCCGCTCAGGCTTTACATGTAATTTTCAAGAGAATTTAAATGTTAAGCCCACCCTGATGAGAGAGAATCTAATTTTAACAACCTACTTCCCTGCTCATTCCACTATATATGACATGGCTTCTTGGTGGCCTTTCAAAAGGAGAGAGATCATATACATGCTAAGTATTTCTTTTAACTACATGCTTGTAATTACTCTGCAGAAATGTTGGAAAGCATAAAAAAAAATTGTGAGAAATGGTACTATTTGCAAGGGGGTTTGTTGACTGCCTCTGCTGATCTAGGCTTTGGGAATGAGAGAGCAAGGAGGAAATAATGTGAAATGCTCAAGTGCTCGCAGTCCTCCAGTTCCTGCTCCCAGTGCTGGCCACCAAGGCCATCTAGCCAGCTAATGTTTTATCTTCACCTAATAGAGAAATATGAACTGAAAGGGAGAGAAAATAAGCTATTCTCACTTCAAGTAGAATCTATAGCTAATAACACTTTCCAGTGTTCTACGTGTGCCCATCACGTTTGTCCATTTCAAGTAGAATTCAGCCATCGTTTGTCCCTAAAGAGGACTTTATTTTGCATTTCTGCCTCTTGTGGAAGGGAAGATCAGACAAGGAATATGAATAATCTAGCAGTGAATGTTTTGTACCGAAATAACTTGCAGCAGTAAGTTGTGGCTGAAGAGCATTACTTACATCTCCTTGAACTCACTTACTTTTGCAGCACAACTTTCTTGGGCTTGGAGAGCAGCCAGGAGAGCCCACAATCGCATGACAGGGGATTTCCATGCAAGTTGATGATGATGCTATCCGACGAATTGATGTTCCAAGGACTAAAGGAACTCAGGTTGCAGCTACAAGATGACAAATACAGTAATTAGCCAGTGCTGGGCTAACTTCCAAGGGCCGGAGTGTGCTTAATATCCCGCTGTGTGTAAGGCACAATGCAATCTTCCCAGTTTCCTTGGAAACAGCAGGTTGCTAACAGCACTGTGCTGCGTTTTAAAGTCCAGGCTAATACCTGCACATCTCTCTAATTTGCACAGTGCAGTTGGTGTATGCTAAAGCACAACAAGGGCATCCTAAGAGGAGAACACCTTTAGGGATGGCAGCTGTAAAGGGAAAGGACCTAGCGTTTGGCAAGGGTGTTCTGTGAAAGAGGGTCTCCTCTTGGCCGCCATGCGTTCAGCCCCACTTTTATTTCATGCAGTGCCCTTTTTCAGTTTTTCCCTAGCTTCTTTCTCACCCTGCTTCTAGAATGGCTTGACCTTCTGTATGCCACTCATTCTCTTTATGTTAATTGCCTCTCTCATCAGCTGCTAAAGTCAAATGACTAAAATAGGAAGATCTCGCTTGCCTGCTCCCAGGCAGCACTGTGCTGTGAGGCAATGCTTTTCATGGGGGTGAGCAACTCTTCATGGGGGTGAGCAAAAAAAGGAAACAACTCACTGCTGGAATGAGAGATGGCTCAGATGAGGAGCACTGTCAAACATCTCTGTTCTCACGAAACCCAGTGAGTGGGAGTCTTGACAGTTCAGCTCTCTGAGATGAGGCATGGACTTGAAAAAGTCAGTATCGAGGCTTCTTAATCGTGACATCTTTGTCAGGTGAAGTGATCTGAGGTTGAACAAGTCTCTGGTCCACTCTGGTTGAACTGAAGCAGAAAAGAGGTTTATAACTATTCCATAAATAGAGCATTGCTGTGGATTTCTGCCTAGAAATAAGTAGACTGAACTGCATTGGTCCACTGACAAATGTTACTGAGATACTTTAAGCAGCACGCGTAAAGATGGAGCCCTCTCCTTGCAAAGCATGCTGAATTTATTAGTGACTTAAGGGGAACTGCGGCTAGGGAACTGTTAGATAGAGTTTTAAATTTATAGAGATGTAAAACATCTCTGTGGTGAAGAGATGGAACAAAATGCACCATATTAATACATTAGAGTGTAAATACCTGTGCAATCACATTTTTGTAATATTACCTACAGGTCTGGTCATGCCATCTTAGAGAGGGCAGAAGAAAAGAAGGAAAGATAGGGAGAAGGTCAATAAAGCTAATCGTAGATATGGGACAACTTTCCTATAACGTGAGATTAAACAAATGAGAATTTCTCTGCTCAGAGAAGAGATGGATGAGGGGAGATTAGAGAGGTCTGCAAAGTTCCGAATGGTTGGAGAAAGACAAGTAATTTCCTATTTCTCCTAAGACAGGAAAAAAGGGGTGAGGGACATGAAACTGTGAAGGAACAGGTCTTAAACAATAGTGCCTTTTCATGCTGTAACTAAATTATGGAACTCACTGCCAAAAGAGGGATTAGACAAATTCATGGAGGAAAATTACCGATACATCTGCTAAGTGTGAGTTGAGGTGAAACCTCTAGCTTGGGAAATCACTAAGCTGCTGGTTACTGGAATCAAGGAACATACACATGGGAAAAATCCATCTGTGTTTCCCCTCTCTTTCTTGTACCCTCTCCATGAAGTGCCACTGTTGGGTGCTCTTGCAAAAAGGACACTGCACCAGGGGGACCTCTGCTCTGACTCAGAGTGGCAGTTCTTGTGCCAGTGCCAAGAAATAACCATCAGTGAAACCTCATAGGACCCCTGGAAGACAATAATTGTTTTTATGAATAAAACTGGTACGAAATGTGACAGAAACAGATGAGGTGGCCTTTTAGATAAGTTGTCCAGGAAGGGTTTTCCCATGGCTGAGACAGTGCTCCGGGAGGCAGGAGATCAGGCAGCAAGTCTTGGCTCTGTCCAAGGCTGAGAGCAGTGGGGCAAGGCATATTTAGCATCTCTCCACCTTAGCACTCAGTTACAAACTGAGGCTGACGGTGGAGACAAACAAAAGGAAGATTCGTGTTGTAAATTGCTCAGCACAAGGATCGTCTCACTGTATGGAGGTACTTGGCCTGGTGCGGTTGAGAAAAAAAAAAACCTCCCTGCACTACTTCAATAAAGCAGAGTGTAACTGTGGGGATGGGCAAAGGTGGACTTCAGCAATGTGTCTGAATAGAGATATTAATTCCCTCTAGTGTTTTCTAAAGCAAATCTCAAGGCTGACAGCTGGATGACTAGCAGTCAGTGGGGTGAGGATGGAGGCGGGGGGACTATGATGGGATGAACGTGCAATCCCGTTTCGGTGCTGCCAGCTCTTTGCCCTTCCTTATGGAGGCTGGTCTGCGTGAGGGTTTCTTCCCCAGTGGTTACATGACTTGCTGGAGAGCGTGCTGCACTCTCTGAGCAGCAGCAGATGAGGCTGCCCCTAATGCCCGTTTGCAGCCCCTAATGCCCCTAATGGCTGTCCCAGCTAATGTCTGTTTGCAGCTTTCAGCGCAGGATGCCTCCCTGGGATGGGGGCAGGGGGGAGGCACCAGCTGGGACAGGGGCAGCCATCCCATTGGCTCAGCCAGGAGGAGGGCCATCCTCCTGGCAAGGCTTCTGCTCCCCACAGCCTGACCAGGGCCCATGTTTACAGTGGGAAATCTGGAGACTTACTTACTTTTCTCAAGAAAGGTCCCACTCAGATCAAGCATGTTGATGGTGTTTCCAGGCCTGTTCCTGGCCTCAGGAGGAGATGTGCTGATGGCAAAAGCAGACTCCCTAATTCCTTTGCTGTCATCTTGCCCAAGAAGAGTTGCAGAGAGGTTCAGGAACTGCAGCCGAGGGTAACAGGAAAAAGCGAGCGGTTGAATTTCAATCAGTGGATTTCCAGCCAGGGACAACCATCTCAAGTTAGGCAGGGAAGAGGTGTGGCATGACGGCACAGATGACAGCTTATTAAAGCTTAAGTCCAGGGAATGGAGGCTGCTGAGGGCTTCAGATCCCCATCTAACAGCTTGGAGATGGTTCTGTCTTAGCAAGAGGGTGCGCAGCTGCGGGAGGTTTGCTATCTCTGTGCTGTTCACTTCTTCCAAGAGGTTGTTGCTGAGATCTAAGGTCTCCAGGACCTCTGGGAGGCAGACAGGGAAAGCTGTCAGGCTGCTGTTGGTCAGCTGCAGGGTACATGCCAGTGAGGTTAACGGTCTTCCAAGAATCTTCCTGAGTCAGCTGGAAAACGGTGGTGACGTCCCTGGATGCTGCAGTCTCTGCTCTGCTCACTGGGCCTGACAGTATGTTTCCCACCAGCAGAGAGAGGATGAGCAAGAGCAGAAACATCCTGCTGCTGCTAAGAGGCTCTCAATTAACTTGCAAGATCTGTTTGTTTTTTGTTTCAGGGAAGGGAAAACAAAACATCAGCATTAAGAACTAAATTAAAATCCCTCCAGGCAGCTACAAGCTATTTAAAAGTAAAACATTTATAAATGCTTTCCCGTTGCATCCAGACAGTAGAAGTGATAATTAATGTCTCTTCTGTAATTAAGCCTAAGTAAACATGAGCCCTTTGGGACAGAAATATCGTTTGATCTTATTTTAAGCGTACGTAGGAGTTTTGATCCAGAAAGCAACCAAGTTACGTCACATGTCTAGTTAGTACCCCAGTACCCTCAGTACCAGTCTGGCACCTAGAACAGTACCTCGAAGAAGAGCAGCAGCACAGGGGATGGGCTTCTCAGTCTTGCGGCTTGCGCCACCTCTGTTCCACACAGGGGTATGAGGCAGTATGGGTGCTACTCCAGTATACAACTACCAGCTGGTACTAGACAAACTGCAAAAGAGGGATAATATTATTCAGAAACCCCTGCTCTCACTGCAATATTATAGGATTTTATGTTTATACATGATTGCGTATTTGCTCCCTACAGGGCTGTTCTGCTGCACAGTATCCAGTTTGTCCATCTCACTGAGACGAGTTGTCTAATGGGGCAGGCAAGAAGGCTACAATCAAGTGCGGTCTGGGCAAGGAGTTTTTTCTGTGAGGCTGCCTGTACAATGCAAACGTATGGATTTAGAGGCAGAGGCAGATTGTCAAACATGAAACTAAAGGATGGAGGAGCCCAAATTTGGCTGAGGTGCAATGGGGCAGGAAGGTAAAGCGCCTTTCCTGTATTGGGAAGGGCTCTCCTTCCCCTGAGCAGAAGTCAGCTGTGCAACAAAAGCCCGCGGCATGTCTGGGCTCTGCCCGTGCAGCTCTGCCCAGTTCTGACTAACAGCCACAACGGCAAATAGCTGTACGGGACGTGCCGGCAAAGTCACTTCCCTGCATCTCTCAGCCCCAAAGGCCCCTCTGAGACTCCCCCTCCTCTTCTGCTCCAGACCCTCTGACAGTGCCCCTGGAGCCGTCTGCCAAGTGGTGGCAGGGTTGTGACCTTGCTGCAGGTGAGTGTCTCAAATTCAAATTCCGGAGGAAAACAGCTATTTAAAATACAGCTTCTGAGCTACATTTTAATTAAAGTAGTCAGAAATTTAGAGTGTGCTCCTGGGTCAGGGCCAAAGGCCTGGTACCAAGAAGTAGTTCATTCAGTGTTACAATTCCCTCTGTGCTCCTTCCTCCTCCCACCCCAGCTTTGTCCTCCCAAACATCACAGCCCCCAAAGTGCTTCTCCTGGATCCTCTGTGAGACGGGCAGTGAGGCTTAGTCGTTATTTTCCCTCTGTGCCACTTCCCCTAAAGCTGACTTTGCCGTTCCCCAGGCAGACCAAGGAGGACGTTTATCCCCTACCTCCTCTAGAAGGTATGGTCCTTTTGGCTAGGGCCTGGAGAATTTTGTGCCCTCTGTAGGAGGCGGTGATGGTGAGCACATACTGTAACTAGATGTTTTGCTACAGCTCCTTCTCCTACTCTTTGCTTAAAGCAGTCCCAGGGGTAGCTCCAGCCCTGTCCTACCTATGCAGCCCTCCTCTGTCTCTTCCTTTCTGATCTACGTATGTGAGGTCTGATCCTACGTAGCCGTGAGCGCCCTCAGTTCTTTTCTCGTAGTTTTCAGAAGTGGAGGACCTTTGCACCTTGGAGGAGCTGCTCAGCGCCTTGCAAGATCTGGCTCTTAATTAGTGTCCCTAGTGCTCTGAACAGAGACAAGAATGGTAATGTTTTCCTTACACGGGCTAGTCACAGGCAGGCTTCTCTGGGGGGATATGCTGTAACTCCTTTCCACAACACTTCCAAAGTCAAACAAGCGCCTCTTTTCCTGCTCTGCTGTCAGACTGAAGTTCAGGTGTACAGCATGGCCTTGTCCACTGCCTCCTTCCTGCATTTGGCTTTTTATAAGGGACACGAACTGTACCAATCTACAAACTGTATTCAGTTAACCTGGGTGATCCTGTGCTCCATAGCAGATGGAGTGTGTCCATCTTTAACAGGCCTATCCTTGAAACACTCCTGAGAGACAAAGCTTTTATATTATATTGCTCAAAAAGCATGAAGAAACATATAGTTGGGTTTTAAAAATATTTGAGTGACTAAAAATATAGGTAAGTATTTTTGAAAAATCCATGAGACTCCTAAGCACCAGAGGAACCTACATGCATTCCTCCGCGATTTTTTAAAACCCAGGAGGATCCTGAACACCCCTTTAAAAAAAAAGAAAAGGGCACTAAATGATTTGTCGAAGGCTGTGCAGATAATCTGTGTCGAGGAAGGAATTACCACAGGTGTCCTGAACCCTAAGCTAGTGCTTTCCTTACTGAGCTCTCTTTCCTGCTCTCGGGGCATCGTAATGATCATTCCTCATCCAAAAATAAATATCAGTGGGGGTAACTGAAGCCCCACGCTGCATAAAATGTCTCAGACTTGCTGTTCACCTTATTCAGCCATTCATGCTATTCATAACTACTTGTTTTTCCCTGAACGGTGCCGGCTATTGCCTAGATCATCATCTGCTGCTCCCATCCCAGGTTTGAGGCAGGGACCAGCAGAATAGTGTATTTTGGTGACCTGTGCCCTTTTCATCAAATGGAGCCACGCAAGAGCTGAGCAGCCTCAGGGCCTCCCGGCCAGCGGAGCTGCTGGAGGCCCCCCTCCGCCCCACCATGCCGGGGGGGGGGGGCGGCCGCTCCGCCACACATGGCAGGGAGAGGAGGGGAGGAGCGGGGCCGCTGGGAGCTGATCTCAGATTCAATCTTAGTCCCTTGCTTTAAACCGCATTCGCGTGCACATACCTGTCTGGGAGTCCTGATGCCTCGTGCCTCCCCTCTGTGTGGCTCTGATTGCCTGGCCTTGATTTTATATGCTTTGGTGACTCAGCTGAGGAGCGTGAAATGCGTCTGTTCTCTTCCCGGCTTTCCCTGCTCGCGGCTCTGCCCACAAGCGGAGGCAAGGTTTTGTTCCAGGCCTGCTCCCCCGCATGCAGCTTCCCCCTGCCTAGAGAGGGGGTGGCTCCAGTCAGCTCTCTGCGCTCCCTCAGCCCTAACAGGGGGAGGGTGGGAAGGCTCCTGTTTCCCAGCATCCGCTCCCCAGGCAGGGCTGCTTCTTCTCTCTTCATCTAAGGAGAGGAGGTAAAGGGAAGGATCAGTGTCTCTAGTCCCAACTCTCACGTCTTCCACTGACGAGGGGGGAGGAAGGGGAGAGGAATTATTGTGTTTCTTCACTGACAGGTCACGAGGACATAGAGCTAAGGCTCTCTCTGTCTGCTGCCATGGGCTTTGATAACTCTCTAGACACCAATAAAAGGTGGGTTTCAAGTGTTTACGTTTCTCTGTAATAGTCATGCACTTGGGAGTAAGTCCTGGAAATGTTCACCCAGGACAAATGGCTTTTAGCAGAACAGTCTCTCTAAGGAGGCCCTTGGGAGATGTCAAAAGCAAAGCTCTCACTTGCCGCTCCTGCAGAGAGGAATTTCCTCGCCTGATCTTGTGTCACAGTGTGTATGACGGACTTTGGAGGCCTCTCCAGCTCCCCCAGGCGTGTCTGTGTGTGGGATCTGTTCTTCGTTCTGCATCTGCCGCACTGAGCGGCTTGGGACAACTCCCTTCCCGCTCCTGCTCGTATCTTTTGTTGGCTAAGTAAGTCTGACAAGGTAAAACACCTCCCACCAAGGGACGTGCTTGCAGCTGGGTCTTGAGGCATTACCACAATTTGAGAAATAACTAGGCCGGTCAAGAGCTGAGAGTAAAGCCCTGAAGTGGAAAGGTATGACGTGAAAGCGACTGTTCCAAAGTAAAAGCAATAGTATGGATGTTCAGTTACTGCTTTAAGACAATTAATTATTAAAGTTTCCGGGGAGAACAATGGTCAGTGCTTGTCTTATTTGTCAGGAGGACAAAACAGATCTATGACGGAAAGGCAAAACAGACCTGTATATTGCGGTGATAAAGTGCAGATAAAGGTCTTGCTTTCCCAAAAACCTTGAGACTACATGCACACTGACCTTATCTGTTGACCATGTCATTTCATTATCTGTGTGGGGAGGGAGCCTTGAAAAACACCAGAACACCCACAGAACAAGATACGGTCTTTTAGGAGGACTCTCTGGAGCCATTGCGGTTCCCTCTGAGGTTGGCTGAGATGTACATATTGTTCCCTTGTGGGATGGCTCCCAGGCAAGACAAGCAGTTTCCTAAATGAGGGCCTAATCCTGCAGATTAACCCTGGTGGAACGGCTCACAGGGCTGTGCTTGGGGAAGCGTGCCGGCTGGCCATATGTTTCCTAACAGGAAGCTGTAGAGAGCTGCACTCTGAATGCTAAGTTCATTGGGCAAATCTGAGCAGCTTAAAAAGAATGGTTCTAAAGAATTTGCTGCAAGCGTGGATGGAAGCAAAGTCCAGCCCAAGCCACACTGGTGGAAAGCCACACTGGCCTTCCCTTCGCCTTTGCAATCCTTTTAGCTCCAGATCTCTTTCAGGGAGGTGGGCTCACTTTGCCTTGGGCTATTAAGTACCCGTGTTGTGTTTCCTACTCTTAGCTCGGTATTGACACATAGTGAATTTTTATGAGACGATGGATGGGTTATTTTATTGTCTTTAATCTCTTTAAAAAAATACTCAATGAAAGCTGGCGAGCCAAATTCTGCCTCACTCTTAATGTGTTCCGCCGTACTGAGTTCCTTGTGGAACAAGGTTAGACAAACAGTCCTGTAAGACTGGAAAAATAGCCTGGCAGTTAGCAATTAGCCCATTAATTTCAATGAAGGTGGAAGTGAGATGGAGTCTTTTCCCAGAGGGGCTTGATTCTGAAAGATAAAGAGCACATCCTACAAGAAGTAGAGCACTCTTGGAAAATGAGATTTTTGTTATATTAATTTCCCACATTTTTCTGCATTTTGGATGCCCAATTTTTGAGGCAGGCATTGTATTTTCCTAGACTGTGGTACGGCTCTTTGCCTAGCTGCAAACTCTAATCGTTTGAAATATTACCACGGTGGTACCCCTTCAGCACCAGTTGTGATACTGGTGAAAGTTTCCCAGAGCAGGCACCAGCCCTCTCCTACCCTTTTTTTTTGAAATCACGAAAGGATCCAATAGGCGCAGGCAGAGCGTTCCCTTCTGCCCGTCAGTCTGACTTGTTCTCATATCGCTGTGTTTGTTCAGATTATTACTCTCCTTTTTCTATGTTTCTAAGGTTTTCAGTGGCAACCTGAGGGAAGGTTTAGTAAAGGCAGGCATTTTTGTCAGTCTTTTTCTGCATGGGCGAGGTATGTACTACAAAGAGCTAAACCAGACGCGCCCTCCCTGGGGCTGATTCAGCGCTGGACAAAACCCCTCTTGCTGCAGGAGCTGGAATGCTAGGGATGAGCCCTGCATTCCTTAATGACATTGAGATAAGCAGAAACATGGGGAGAGCAGAAGGCGAGGATGGTACCAGGCTGTAAAGTGTAAGAGATGAATGTTTCTCGTTGGCTGTGATCCATGTCTAGAGGTTTTTCCAAGTGATGATTGAGAAAGAAAATATCCTGAAAAATCTGGAGAATGGCTTTAAAGCCAATGAAAGAAAAAGAATATTTACAGGTCACTCCACAGAGTAAACACAAGTAAGACATTCTCCTACAGTGAACAGGGAGGCGAGAACAGGATTATTTAGCCTGAGGATTCAGAAAACCATGGGGTGTGGGTGTTGTCTGCTATAGCAATGCATTGTGAATGAGCAACGACATCCCCCACGGAAGTTGTTCAAAGTAGGAGCAGACAGCAGCCCTCTGACACTTGTAGCATTTTACCCTGACCTGATTTTGGTGTAAATAAGCACGACATACAAAAACAGGGTGGCAGCTGAGCCAAGGCATTTTTGTTTTCATCTAAACTACATTCCTGTCTAGGATTTTGTCTCTGCATTTCAGAAATGCCTCTTTCCTTAGAAGACACTGTTTCATTTCAGGGCAGATGCCCTGCCTTCACTCACTCGTTAAAGTGTCTATCCCACATCTGGCACTGTGCAAATAATAATTCAGTTACTAAAGACCACTCAGCCTACAGTCTTTACCCTTATTCATAAATCAGGTGGTATGAACAAGCAAAAGCCAAGCTTAATGAGGTTATTACAGGAATAAAGGAGGGTGTGGTATCCCATGCACGTAAAGTGGGGAGGAGTGGAGTCTGGCCAGGACATGCTCAGTGGCATGGAATGGGATGAAAGATGACTTGACGCTGGAGCTGGCCCGGAGCTGGGCCGGGTGCAGATGTCAGGCACAGCAGGCGGCACCAGACCTGCTCCCAGGAGCTGCCGACTGTATCCAGCAGTTGCTGTAGCAGTCTGGAATTGTGGGGGTGCAGGAGCACCCTGGCTTGCACCTTCCCCCTCCAACTTCTCTTTGGGCTGCTTGTACAAGAAACAAAGCTAAGGTCACTGCCCCCATGGCCAGTAAAGCTGTGGAAAACATCAAACAAACCAGCATGCTCCCAGTGCCCCTGAATTTCTGGGACTGGCTGTGCAGGATGACTTCTCCTTCATTGCACTGACCCTAGCCCAGAAGGTGTGACGTCTTGAAAGCAGCACCCCTCAGCTACTTTTACTGCTGAATCATTTTGCTTTGATGAAAGCGTGACCTCATGCAGCATCAAAGGTGGGTGGATAAAAAGAGATGCCTTTCCTAAGCGCTCTTCTCCTTGAAAGCCTTGCAAGGTGAGTGGAACAAGGAGGAAAACAGCTGATGATCTAAAGAAACACAGAGACCGGACAGCGCACCAAGAAGAGTAGCAAAGGGATCATTCCATCAAAGATAAGATGGCAAACGTTGGTGCTTACATTCCAACAGGTTTCTGGATGAGTTGGCAGAGCTCCTCCTCCTTCCATAGCGGCAGAAAACCTTTACTTGAAATGCAGTGACACATTAGAATGAGACGGAGGGAGGGCCAGGAAAGAAGACGGAATGTTTTTGTGGTTTCTCTGGAATCTCAGCCCAGATAACCTTGACTGCAAGTAGGTGTGTTTACTTAGCAGTAAAATGAGCTGCACACTGTGCTAACGAGATACAATTTAAGTTCCCAAATGAGGGGCTCTAACACAGGCACGGCTGCAATCCTGACTGAAATTCAGTAGCAGAAGTGGAGGCTGAGTCTGGAAAAGGGGCTGTCTGTGCAAGAAAAGCTGGCATGAAGGTGCGCCTTCAGCTTTCCCTCAACATCCTTAGGCAGGTTTTAAACATTGTAAATGTCTTTGGACTATATGTTATAGGTGGAAATGAGGAAAATACTTGGCCTGTATCAAGCAAGTGAGAAGACGGTAAAGTCCTTCACTGAAGAAAACTGGATGGTCCCTCAGGCCCTGCGTAAAAAGTGCTGGGGAGAGGGAAGCATAGTGGGCTGGTAGGCAGGTTATAGATGCTCTTTCTTTTGCAATTCAGGTATAAAATACAAAGCTTCAGTTTGTTTAAACTGGCACAAATTGGGAGCAATTCCATTGCAGTCTACTGACAGGCACTGGCGTAAAAGTAGAGGACATGACAGAAGGATCAGGCCTACCCAGTCCAACTGACATCTAGGAAGTATGCAGTGATATCTACAACATCTCTTGGCAATGTGTCAACACCTGTCCTTTTTAATTGCTTAGGTATTCGGAATCAACTTTGGTTCATCCAGCAATTTAATGAATCCTCCCAACCTAGTCCCCTCCTGTGCTTTACTGACCACTACGCATTATGGGGCAGAACCAAAGCTCACTCAGCTCACTGGGTGTGTGTGGCTCCCTCCAGCAGACAGCTGGCTGCTACAGATCTTGCTCCGTAGGCACAGTATTATTGAGTAATCGCTTTGCATCCTGCATTATATACACGACGAACAGCATTTCTACAGGCATTTCGGCTCCTAACTCAATTTACAGATGAGTTTAGTTTAAAATCAGATGACAGTACAAACAGAGTAACAAGGACAGAAAACAGAAGGAAGGCCTACCTTCAGAGTCTTTTCTACCTATTTTAAATTACTTGCTTGTTAACTAAAGCATTCCTTTCAACCTGGAAATGAATGAAGTACCTCAAGAGATTAACATTTAGAATCTGGTTTTGCAAAGACTAACGTTTTGTTCTACACATCTGGTAGCCCCTTTGATTTTAATTCATTCTATTCACACAATTGAAGGTAGACATGGATGTTACATTTTTGAATGATCGTGTAATCACTACTTGGGATTTGAAAGCTCCATCTGCAGACTTTGGAGTACTGATGAAATGTTTTCTGTTCCCAGCACAAATGTTAGACAA